TAATATACTTGAAATAAATATAATTATTATAAGTAACTTTTGAAACAAATACCCTAGCTTAAATACTAGGAAAACTCTAATAATTAATAAATAATAATAAAATAACATTAACATAATTTATAAACTTCCAGTAACCATGTTTAGACTTCAAAATGTCAAAAAATTATATGGATGACTATTTATTGGTTATGAAGCAACTTATACACAAAGAAATAAACTAAAAGCAGCATTAAAATAAGAACACTGAATGAACGTTTATATTATATTGACCATATTGACCACATTCTGAAAATCATAGTCTACAAAATATGAAAACAATTCCAGCTCTAGTGGGCTTCTTAAAGATGTACTCACAGAATCTAGGCAAAAAAGCATTTTGATTACTAACTACATAGCTTCAATAAAAAAGGTCATTTACGATGAACCCATATTTTCTTAATAGTTGTTGGAGTAAATTTGCAGATCCAGGGTCTAGTTCAACTGTGTTGTTAGGATCACAGAAGGCAAGGAGAAACCTTATAATGCTAATTATAAAAAGCTTTTCCCCTTCGATTATGGACCTTCATTTAACAATTGAATTCATGGGGGAAAAAAAAACACTATCACAAATACCAAAAATGTTGAAAACCTCTGGGAATATTTTTGTCAAACACAATGGAAACTGATAACCTTTTCGCATAAACCTCATTTCTGATGTTGAACCTCAAACAATCCCTTAGGAGGCTGAACATAGGGATGCTTCCTCCAGCCCAAAAGTCTTCCTTCCATGTGTTTCCTAACCTTGTTGAAATGGTTAGTTTTGTCAACGTGACACATCTAGAATCACTTGGCAAGAGAATTTCCAGGAAGGATTATCCAGATCAATTGGTTTGTGGGAATATCTGTGAGGGTTTGTCTTGATTTCATTAATTGATATAGGGAAACCCAGTCCACTGTGGGCAGTACTATTCCCTGGCTTGAGGTTTTATATTAAATAATAGTAGAAAAGACTCTGAGTACTAGGCACACATTCATGGCATTAGATATGATATGACTAGCTATTTCTAGTACCTACTGCTGTGATGAAGCAATGGCATATAGCCTTGGAGATAAAATAAGCCCTTTCTTTCCTAAGTTGCTTTTGATGAAGATGTTATTCATCTCATCTCCCACTTCCTCATCTGCCTGTTCCCTGAAATCCTGCCCATGAGCAACAGGCTGCCTCTCATAAAAGACCCTCTTCCTATCCTTTTAAATTTTCTTATCCTCATGTGCAATCCTTTGTTTCCACCAGGCTACAGTCTACACCTACTAATGTTTTCATAATTCTGTCTTCATCATAATGTCCATGTATGCTTACCTATTCCTGAGTAATCTCTTCCTCTTTGAAATATTCAACAATAGGTCTTTCTGGCTTGTATTGTTCATGGAGCATTTTTAGCTGATCTCTACAATTTCTTTCATTGCCTGATGCAGTAATAAACAGCAGAATCTCAATAAGCCTTTATTGAATTGAAGAATCTTTTATGTAATATCCTTCTTCCCCAAAATCAATCTGTCCCTCTGAACAAAATGATACCATTTTAACAGGCGGTTATAACAACCAAGTTTGATCTTGAATATTTCACTTTCGTTTATTACATTTTAAATATTAATAACAGTCTGACATTAAATATATATGTGTGAATACATATATAGTATCTCCAAAGGAACTAAAGTCACCCTAATCTACTCTAATGTCATCTGGGAAAGGTCAGAAACCATGTTTACTTTCTACATAGGAATCCAAGTATCCACTAACTAAAACACATGGAAATAACTCTAAGACCAGAAGAGCTTCTGCACTACTGAAGTCAAGAAAAGTAGAAAATAGAAAGCTTTTTCTCAAGTAGCTTGTCATGTGCTTGAAGAAGAAAAAAAGGTAACACAAGATACAAGAAAAGCATATGTTCTCTAAGTGTTTCTATGGTTGGTTTCCAGCTTAAAATAGACTGAGCCAGATTCCACTGGGCTCCCACTGGAGGTGGCTTTTTTGGCTGCTTTAGCTAATACAGAGGTAAACATATTGCAGCTGGGGGCATTGCACTGAAGACTTGGCACATTCTACAGCTGCCAGGAAAATTCAAGAGATAATGAGGCCGGAATCAGCACAGAAAGTGCTGCAAACTCGCATTCAAAAAAAATACAGATATTGAAATCATAACCCAAACAACAACAAATCTAGGAAGAAGACACAGACAAGGTTTGAGGGCAGACCTTAGCATAAACAGCATGGAGTCCAGAAACCAGCATGTTGGTGCAAGAAAGGGAAATGATGGAGATGGGGGTAGAGAAGACAAAGATAGACTTAAGGCCCAATGGTTAGACAAGCCCAGAACTGAGACTTTACACAACAGTTACAAAGATCTGTCTACGTTCAACCAGAAGGATTTGACTCTGCCCTCTTCAGTCATCCATTTAGCCATTCCCTCTTTAGGTCTATATGAAGAATCCATGTGTAGCCTTTCTTGCTTCTACTTACAGAGGAAATGCATGTTTATCACAGAAAAACGTAAAATTCAGAAAAATGAAAGTATGATCCATCATATTATAATTTAACCTCATTTCTGTTATTAATTTGTTCATTGTTTATTCTGAGCTGCTAGGTACAGTACATTGACCATTGACTGTTCTTAGCTTTTGAGAAGTCACTGTGAACAAGTTATATAAAATTTTCTGCCCCTAATAACTTATATTCTATAAGTTATTATAGAGCTGGTAAGAAACGGTAGAAACAAATGGCTGTGTCAGCTTGTAAGAAGGCATCAAAAACTGCAGGAAGATGAGGGGTCAGTGAGGACAGGCAGACTAGAGGTGCAGGACTAGGCAGAGGGGAGGGACAGATTACTACAGTATTCACAGTGGCCCAAACTGAGAACACATTAGCAAGCTGATATCGTATTTCACATCACACTTTTAATTTTTCCATTTAAAATGTGACAAGAAATCTTCAAACCATTAAATATTAATTTACAGTATGATTTATAATGACTATGGAGAATTCCAATTCATAAGCAGACCATTTCATTTAACTGCTCTGTTCTATGAGGCAATTACATTTTTCTTGTTTCTGAGTATGTGTGTACATGTATGTGAGCATGTGTGTGTTGTGGTGTGTGTGTGCGTGTGTGTGTGTGTGTAAGTAATGAGAAAAATAAAGGTAGGAGCTTGTACAGAATCAGGAACATGGTGTTAAGTAAATCAATACTCTACCTCTCCCTCTCCCTCTTCCCCTCCCCCTCCCTCTCCCTCTTCCCCTCCCCCTCTATCTCCCTTTTCCCCACCCCCTCCCCCTCCCCTCCCCCTCTCTTTCTCCTCTCTCTCTTCTTCTCTCTTTCCCTCTCTCCCTCTCTTTCCCTCTCTCCATCTCTCCCTCTCCCTGTCTCCTTCTCCCTGTCTCCCTCTCCCTGTCTCCCTCTCCCTCTCTCCGTCTCCCAATCTCCCTTTCCCTCCCTTTGCCTCCCTTTCCCTCCCCCTCCCCCTCTCTCTTGTCAAGCTTCTCAACCACCCACACTTGACAATCTTTTCATCAGCCTCACAGAAGTGCTCTGGCTTCCCCATCACTCTACCATCAGCTTCTTTACAAAGCAGAAATACTCTTTATAGTACAGAATCTACCTTAAATGCCTACATAGCACAGAACCTGGTACCAAGAGGAATAAGCAATAACTACCCACTAGATTAACAAATAGCAAAAAAAAATTGCAGGGTGTTCATGAAGAACTCTGCCTTCCATCCAGCTTCAGGGATGCCTGGAAATGTTTCCCTCCCACTGAAGCTTCCTTCTACAAACAGGAGTGAGTCATATCTCAGACATATTTAGCACCTTCCTTGCAAGGTGCCAATGCATCTCTGAATGCCTTTAACATTCTGGAAACCACCATGCAATCTGGACAGCTAAAGAATACTATTAAAATCTTAGTAAACGGTAGACAGTCTATAGAGACAATGCAGAGAACACTTTCATTATTGTCTCTCTTTCAAGTCATATGAACATGACAACTAAATATTTTGGTCTTGAAATCTAAGATAGAAATAGATCATAATGGTTTATAAACTTCTTATCCTAAATTGTAGTCATAGCATGATTAAACCTTTGCTTTTGTTTTTGTTTTTTAAGAAACCTGTTAAACTGCCACAAAAAGAAGAAAAAAAGACTGAATAAGACTTGTACAAAACTTGACAAACAAGAAAAGGCTGAACTCCAAAAAGAAAAAGAAAACTGTCAACAGAAGACAGCAATTGTTTATCATATAAGATGGTTCATTATGGTAACATGCTACTGAATAATAATAGTTTCTCTGCTGTGGCAATAGGAGATGTTAAGTTGTGACAACTGTCTTTCCTGCTTCATCAAAAACCTCCAGTCCAGTGCTAGTTAGAAGTAAAACTAATCTAAATATTTCTTCCTCTTCAATGCAGCCTTAGGAGGAGCAGGAAGCAAGCATCCTCTTGGTTTTTCAAGTGGGAGGATGCAGACCCTGAGAATCACTACCATTTCTATGAATGATTCCGTTGGTCAGCTCACACATTCACGGCAAAGGAACTCAGCTTCAAGACAATGTGGGTTTGAAAGTCCACACTGGGTATCTGGGCTTAAATCTTTTAGTTGTGTATCTATTCCATCTTGGATGACTAATATTGATCGCCAACTGGGTAGGATTAGAATCACCATGGGAACAAACTCTTGAACGTATCTGAGAGGTAGTTTCTAGATTACATTAAAAGAGAAAGACCCATCATCAATATGAAAGGCACCATTCCATAAGCTGGAATGAAAAAGTGAAGATGTGCTAAGCTCCAGGATTCCTTTCTCATTGCTTCCAATTATAGCAACAATGTGTCTTGCTGTCATTACTCCCCTGTCCTGATGGACCATACCTTCAAACTATGAGCCAACAATAATGTTTCCTTCTTTAAATTGTCAGGCATTTTATCATAACAATGAGAAAAATAATGACAACAACATCTTCACAACCAACCTGGTTATACTCCAGAGGCAACAGAGTATTTGAGGATTTCAGCCACAGAAATGATTGTTTAAAGCTTCTCACATAGAGGCCTGTAGATCCACATGGTAACTCTTCAATCTGTCATGCATGGGCAAGGGACCTATTCACAATAAAAAAAAAAAAAAGATATGAGTAAGAAGGATCAATGGAAGCAGGAAGCAGGTAGAAACAAGTATGGCTCTATGAGTAAAAGACAATGACAACAGGGCATCCTTGTTATGTACAATTGATCCATACCGACTTCAGTACTGCTTTGTCCCACCTTCCTCAAACTTCCAAGCTGTACTACTGGTTACAAGAGTGAAAGTTGGGTGTTCCTATCTTTAATTTTCACATCTATACTTGGTACTCGTCTGATGTGACCCAAAAGACCACGTTTAAGTATGTAAGAGCCAAAAATCAATCCGTCAGCTTCTACCGCAGTGCTAACATTGGACATTATAAAAGCAGACCTATGGTGCTAACTCGAAGGCCACTGTTTATTTATCTCTTTCTCCTTCCTCTAATACAATGTTTTAGAAGAGATTAGAAATATCCATACCATCATCCTTTCAGTTAAGAATATATCATTTGTCTTTCAGTTCATTCATTCACCAAGAATGTGCTGTCTATCCTTGCTAGGTACTGTTCTAGGAACACACAATATAGCACTGAAGGGACAAACTCAAACAGCTTATTATTTAAAAAGTTAATAACTGGAAGCAGACAATGTATACAATGCAAATTTGATGAGTGTTATGAATATACTTATAAGAGAAGAAAGAGAATAAGGGAGAGGTAGGAACTCTGTGGAGATGTTTGAGCAGGGGCTTCAGATAGGTAAAAGAGATAGCCCTACAGACAGCTGGTGGGCCATCCTGAGAACCAGAGGAACAGCAAGGACATAGACTTGCAGGAACATTATAGAAGAGCCAAAGAATGCCTAGAGATTAGTGACCAGAATCAAATGAATAATGACAGATGCAAAAATGTGGAAAATTTGATGACTAAGAAACAGTAAGATGTCAAATACACATTTTAGGTATATATTTTAAAAACAGCCAAGATTTGCTAATGGAGTGGAAATGAAATGTAAGCAAATGAGAAAAAACATGGATGATTCCAAGTTTTCTGTTCTGAATAATGGAAGAATATCAGGAATTTCCATGATGACAATGGAAAAGACCGTGTGTGGTAGTAAAATTGATTGTCAACTTGATAGGATCTTAAATATTTAGGAGACAATATACAGGGATGCCTGTGAAGAAATTGGATTTATTAATATGGGAAGATCCACCCTAGATGTGGGTGGTACCATTCAATAGGCTGAAGTCTCAGATTTATTGTAAAGGAAGAAGCATGCATACCTGTGGTGGTTTGAATATGTTTGGCCCAGGAGGTAGCAATATTGGTGTGGTCTTTTTGGAGGAAGTATGTCACTGTGAGTGTGGGCTTTAAGACTCTCATCCTAGATGCCTGGAAGCCAGTCTTCTCCTAGCTTTAGAACAAGAGGCAGAACTCTCAGATCCTCCAACTTCAGTCTGGATGCTGCCATGTTCCTGCCTTGATGATCATGGACTGAACCTCTGCACTTGTAAGCCAGTCCCAATTAAATGTTTCCTTTATACGAGTTACCTTGGTCATGGTGTCTGTTCACGGCAGTGAAACCCTACCTAAGACAACACCATTCATCAGTATCTGTTTTCTGGTGTAGATGCAATGTGACCTGCTTCCTTGGATTCCTGTCCTTGTAATTTCCATTATGTTGGACTATACCCTCAAAGAGTAAGATGAAATAAACTACTCCTCCCTTAAATTATTTTTGTCAGATATTTGACAGCAACAGGGAAAAAGAATAACTAACATAGCATGGAGGGAATGAGAGGCAAAAAACACGTATCCTTAGATGTAAGGTATGTTGGTCCATGCCTATAATCTAAGTCCTTGGTAGGCTGGAGCAGGCAACCAACTGGACTACATAGGGAATATCAGGTAAGGCAGTGAGGGCCTTTGATACCTGGCCAAAAGAAAACAGAATTCATCTTAGGATATGGAAAGTTGAGCAACATATACAACATGCAGAAGATTCTGTGTTCTAGAGAAAAGTCTGAATAGAGGATATCAACTTAGAAGCTATCAGAATAGCATGATGAGTACCCAGGATAAACTTCCTCCCTATGATTTTGATTAAAAACTCTTCACTTTGTCCAGTCATGGATCTAGTTCCCGTCTGCTGCAGGAGGAAGCTTCTCTGATGATGGCTAAATAAGACACTTATCTATGAGCATAGCAGAATATAATTAGATTTTTATTACTATATTTTTGGGGTATTTTTGGTTTGGTTTCATTTGTTTTTTTGTTTATTTGTTTGTTTGACCAGTAGTATTTAGTTTTACCCTAGGACCCTGAGCAATCTAGTCTCATGTTCTTGTTCATCCAAGCAGTATCAGGTATGGGTTCCATCCATGGAGTGGGCCTTAAGTCATAACATACATTGGTTGGTTACTCCCACAAGCTTTATGCCACCATTGCCCTAGCATATCTTTCAAGCAGGACAGAATTCTTGATCAAAGGGTTGGTGTATATATTTCTCTTTTCGTAGCATGCAGAATACCTTCCTGTACCAAAGACACTAAAACATAGGGGTGACAGCCCTATGTAGGCACCAGCTTCACATCTCAATGTCCACTGAGTTTTGTAGTTGTCGTTAGCAATGGGGCCTTGCTGACTGATGGAACTTAGGTACGATTCCTTTGTAAGGAATGTTGAAGCTTGCAGAAGACCAACATATTCAAACTGTCTAAGAAAGCATTTTATTCAGTAAATTTTTATTTATTTTTAGATTCCGTTTACATATATATTTATATGTAAATATATATGTTATATATTTATATATGAGTGCTTTACCTGCATGTACATGTACCACGAGTGCTTAATGCCCACTAAAGCCAGAAGTCGTTTAATCCCCTCCGGAGTTAGAGTTTTGGATGGTTGTGAGCTGCCATGTGAGTGCTGGGAAATCAACCTAGGTCCTCTGCAGGAGTAGCCAGTGCTTCTAGTCATCTCTGGCCCTGTCTCAGCAAACGTTTAAGCAGGGTAGTACTCTATAAAGCTTGATCGCATTTTATTCTCATGGCTGAGCAGTTACTGGCTATGGACGTTGATGTCAATAATGCACTCAGTAGAAAGAATAAGTGAGGTCAAGAAAGACGCTTCTACTTCACTTAGAGACAGAGAATCCAAGACAAATGCTACAAAAAGATGTATCAAGATAAAAACCTGATGTTAGGATTCCATGGAAACAGAGAAGCATCACAGCTATGTCTTATACTCTAACAAATCAAAACTCTTTAAACACAGAAAAAAGAAATATTATACTTCTTGACCTATGAATGAAAGCACTTCAGAACATGACACACATTCTCCTGGAGGAGCAGCCATTCAAATGACTGGGGAAGTTTCAGAGAGGACAAGGAAGTCTGTGAGGGAACAGAAAAAGACTCCTGGCAATGAGCAAGAAGCCCAGGTTAAAATAGCAGCTTTGACAATGGTAGAAGTCACTGCATTTAGTGATATTTATTAAAGGCCAGTGTAGAGCTGGGAGTCATCCATTTCTATCATCACATGATATGGAGGAAAAGATTAAATAGCCCTTCTCTTTATCCCTACTTAAAGAGGAGAAAAAAAACACAGAAATTTTCTGCAATTGGTGCCATGAAAAATGAACTCCATAAAGCTCAGAGGAATGGATGTTTTCATTCCTGATGTGTGTGTGTGTTGCAAAGCTACAAAAATGTAGCAATTTCACTCCATATGAATATAAATCTCATTTTAATATACTGATAAGAATGACAGGACTCATCAAATGACCCACAGCCACATTTAAATTCAAGAAGCTCTGTTCCTGGTGACATTTTAGCAACTTCACCTTTCACCCTTCACCCTTCACTGTCACACAAAGACAAGGCCATCACCAGCCCTGTGCATCCCTGAGTGCCAGTTCAATGCCTCATGCTCCCCTGTCTACCTCTCTGTGCTATTTACCCACACACAGGAACTCATGCAAACCCTTTGGGAGACTCAAATGGTACTCTTAGATTCTAATAGTAAATGAAAGAGAAGCAGGATGGGGTTAGGAAACTGATTCCCAAGATGATTTCTGTTTGAATTTCTTTATTTTCCTACCTTTGTTTCCTCACCTATAAAAAGTGAAAAAGGTGAACTAAAATCTCATGTCTTTGGAACTAGAAGAGGCCTCAGCAATTGAAAGCATATTTAGTGCATCTATCAAGCCTAAGTATTCCAAGTACCTTCGCTGATGCAAAAATATCCTAAAAATAACAGCACAGTGGTAAGTTTGTTTTGTTCCAAAGCCCACTCATAAATCAGGTCTTTGAAACTAGACTGACACTTCCGCCAAGGAAAATGTTGTTAGGGATAGTTTCCATGTGATCCCACAAAACTCTTTCTACCATTAAAGGTCATTACCATCTAAATACAATAATGACCTCTAACAAGGCACATTATCCCCTACATCCCTGTAAAGACACCAGATGCCTATACCAGAATAGCTGGAGAAACTTTCAGTCAAGAAAAGTCTAGAAAATGAAAATGAAACTAAGAAAAAAAAAGGAATACTGGAGCAAAAAGTGCAAGCAGAGAACAACAGATGTGCAAGCAGAGAGGAGATGCACAGAGAGAAACGGAGGGCCCCTGCCCTTGGTACTACCAACTCTATTCATCACAACCAACTCTACCAACAGCAGCATCTGCACTGCAGGAGGCCTAAAGGGCGCAGGAGAGAGACACAGAAGAGGAAAGCAAATGAAAAATTCAGTATATGGCCTCTGGGTCTACATGAGGCAAGTGAGAAATATGTAGGTATGCAACTCAAAATCCAGAGTCAATAAAAGGTTACTTCTAAAATCAGTTGGCATATTCTACCATTCCCAAATCAGGATGTTGGACCTCACTACATTTAGCGTCTCACATTCCTGGACATGGTTTCAACTTCCCATCTGATCTCTCCACTCAAAAAGAGACTTGAAACTCTATATCCTAGGTTGACCAAGAGGCTGTGCCCATGCTATAGGCAACATACATCATGGGTCCCATTGATAC